GTTCCCTGCTTTCCTGCCCGACCGGGGCTAAGCTGCGAGGCAGGGCTTCATTGGGCGCTCCAAAGGCCGCAGGGATGGGAGCGTTCCCTGCTTTCTTGGGCCAGGCAGCCCGCAGCTCCTCTAAGCCAGGTAGGTATCAGGGCCCACCAGCATCTTGGCATCCTTCATCAAGCCCTGCCTACTCCCCCATGAGCTGACCAGGGAGTACTGAATGGCACCCCGGCTGGCACAGATAGGTTTGCAGGGGCCCCAGACTCGACCAGCTACAACGCTGCACCCAAAGGTCTTCCCCAAACCACGCGGCAGATCCAGGAAGAGTGCATGTAGCGGAGACACGAGGGAGTGCCTCACATTCTGTACATGCCAACGGCAAGCCAACTCCACGGCAGGACGGCAGGACGGATCATCCCAGCAGGATTAAGCTTAGCCTGTCTGGGCCACTCCCTGATGCCCTTCCCCCTTCAGAGAGCCTAAGAGAAGGTCAGGGAGAACGAGGTGGCTAGGATGTGTGCAGGTGGGGAAGGAAGGGATGGCGGGAGCGTGAAGACAGCACACAGGGAAGCCCACTGCCTTTCAGGGACCTGTGCCTGGCACTGAAGATGCCAGGAGAGGCTGGGGCATGGGGGATACCCACCCAGGGATGGTGGTGGCCGAGGGGGCCTAGGCAAAGGTTCCGAGTGAGGGTGTGCAGGGCTAGTGGTCCACTCTCCTCCTGATCCCCAAACGCTGTCAGGCAAGATGGCACTTTAGCCCAGGCGGCTCTTCATTCCCCATGACTCAAGGAGTCAGGCTTGGGTGGTGGAAATGGTTAACTCACTTGGCTGCTACCTGAAAAGCTGGGGGTTCAAGTCTACCCAGACACACCTCGGAAGAAAGGCCTGAAACCCACTTCTGAAACATCAACCACTGATTGACCCCACACATGGGGTCACAGAGAGTCAGAATCACTCAATGGCCACTGGGCTCCTGGGCCCAGCCACGTCAGGCCCCTCTCAGCACAGCTGGAGAAACTCCAGCGTGGGCGCTCTCACAGGGCGTCAACACACCCAGTCCCATACAGTCTCTCCAAAGTCCCCTTTCCTCAGGCCACCAGTCATGTCCCAGCCATGGACAAACCATCACAGGAGGACGTGACAGTGGAACGAAAGCCAATTCCAAACACAATCATGGGCTCGATTCTGCAACCCGATTCTGCAGGGTCAGGCAGCGTCAACAACCCCGCGGCCCAGAGATGCCCCAGCAGGAACAAGAAACAACTCCGGGGAAACTCGCATCCGGCAGGTCCAGGGAGCCTGAGACTATGGCGTTTCACTTTCTGTTTCCATCCCCGCTCCTGTCCAGCCGAGCAGCGCCCTGCCGCTCGCAGCCAAGTCCTGATGAGTGCCACCACCCTGCCAACATGGCCCGGGACGGAACAACCGCGCCCCTGGCCCAGCGGGTCAGCGCACCTGGGCGCACGGATGCAATGTAGAAACCGATGCAATTCCACGTTTGCCCAACAGTCAGCTACGGACCAAAGAAAGACGAGGTCCGTGCTTTCTCCCCAGGGACCCCTCAGTAGGGCAGCAGCTGGACAAGAAGCAAGCTGAGGCCAGCGGCGTGGCTCCAGATGCCACCGAGTCGGGGGGCGCGAAGATCGGGGCGCTGGCCCCCAGCTTTCAACGTGCTTCGGGGAGGGCCGGGCCTCGGGGCAAAGTCGAGACCTGCAGGCCTGGGGTGCAGGCGGGGAGGCGCCCCTCGGCCCGACGGCGGCGGCTGGGCGGCTCCCCGCCCCACCCACGGGGCCTGAGAGGCGGGACCCGGCCTCTGCCTTCCCCGGCTCCCACCGGGACTCGCGGCGCGGCCTCGGCTCCTTCCGGAGAGGCCTACCGCATGCAGCGGGGCAGGACCCGCCCTCCCGCCGCCCCGCCGGTCTCCCTGAGCGCCCTGCGCCAGGCGGGCGGCCCCTCACCGGGCTCCAGCAGATGAGCGCATCGGTGTCCGGGTCGCTCACGAGGGTCCAGAGCTTGGTCAGGAAGGCCGGGACGTTGCTGGGCCCTGGCGCGCCGGGGCCCACGGGCAGATCCATATCGTACAAGGCAGGGACAGGCAGAGGCAGCGACCGAGAGCAGAGGCCGAGGGCAGGGTTAGCGCCGCCGTCGCGCTTGCCGCTCGCGCAGCACGGCCGCAGCCGCCCGCAGC